TTGTGGGACCTGAAGTTTTTGTAATAAAGTGCCCTGAAGCTAAAGCTTCACTCATTTCACAGACAGTGAATCTTGCTTGGGCTGCGAGAACTGGGCCCCACAGAGCAGAGGGAGGTGAATGAGAGGAAGAGATAGGAAACAATTATAGGAAGATCGCTTTTTTAAAACAGTTGGCTTTGTTTTTAATTTTCCAATTTTTAGGATAGCATGTGTTAGACATTTAGACAACAGCAGTGGCAACGACTGTATGACACACGTCATGCCTGGACACAAAACTTGAACAAAGTGAAAAATCTGAGACTTTTTGATACCTGAATTTTTTTTTTTTTTGCATATAATTTGTTCTTTTTGGAAAAGGAATCTAAATCATAGTAAAACTGAAATTTGGCTACATTTTGGACATTTATTATAGTTTCAGATTTAAAGTGAAAGAGTGACAAACTCCCAGAGGATGCAAAGTAGTTAAGTTACAAAGCAGCACTCAGCCTGGCTCTTCTATCAGTCTGAACCAGCAGGGGGATTTAAGGACTCTCCCCACAGCCAAAGGCCCCCCGGGGGAGAGTGGGTTGAGGAAGCTGTGACGCCTCAAGCGGCCGCCATGTTCCACGGGCTTACATAGCGGCAACTGCAGACAATAGTATTAGTGGCAATAGAAAGACATTCGCTATCTTCCACTTATTCTCCAAGCTTTAGACCAAATGCCACTTCCTCTAAAGACCTTCCCTGACCTCGCCAGGAACTGCTGAAGCTAATCCTTCTGCTCCCCTAATGCCTTGATTCTCTTTTTCTTAGGCCACTAACCTTACTGTGATAATTATTCCTTCCCACCCTATGACTGTCTCTTACAGCTAATAAGTCATAAGGGATAAACATTATGCTTTACCCATTTTTTAAATTCCCAGGCCCTCATTTGGTAACTGACTTCGGCAGGTTAAAACAAACAAACTTTATGGAGGTATTATAATTTACATAAAATAAAATGTACCCATTTTAAGTTATAGTTCCAAGGGTTTGTCAAATGTGTATAACTATGCAACCAACAACTCTAGTTGCATTTTCCTTTCAGCATTTTAAATATTTCACTACACCCTCGTATTGCTTGCATGGTTTGTGATAAGAAGTCCACTGTAATTTTCATCCTTATTCTTTTATAGGTAAGGTGCTCTTTTTCTCTGGCTTCTTCCCAGATGTTCTCCTAATCTTTGTTTTTAGCTGTTTGGATATGATATGCCTAGATGTAGATTTTTTTTTTTTTTTTTTTTTTTTTTTTAGTATTTATCCTGCTGAGTTTTTTCTGAGATTCCTGGATCTGCAGTTTGTTGTTCATCTTTAATTTTGGGAAATTATCAGTCATTATTACTTCAAATACTTTTTCTATTTTGTTCTTTCTTTTCTTCTCCTTCTGGAATTTCAAGTGTTATATCTTTTCAAAGTGTTCCACACTTCTTGGATTTCAGTTTTGTCTTTCTTATTTTATCTCTTTGCCTTTGAATTTGCGAAGTTTCTGTTGACATATCTTTGAGCTTACTACTGATTCTTTCTTTAGCTGTGTCCAGTCTACCAATAAGACCATCAAAGGTATTCTACATTTCTATTGTAGTGTTTTATTTCTAGCATTTCTTATTGATTCTTTTTTAGACTTTCCATCTCTCTGCTTACATTACCCATTTGTTCTTACATGTTGTCTACTTGTTCCAGTAGAGCCCCTAACATATTAATTATAGTTATTTTAAATTTTCAGTCTGATAATCCCCAAATCTGTGTCATATCTGACTCTCTGGTTCTAATGATGCTTTGTCTCTTTGGATTGTAGTTTTTCTTGTTTTTTACCATCCTTTGTAATTTTTGTGTGTGTGTGTGTGTGTGTGAAAGCCAGATATGATGTATCTGGTAAAAGAAAATGGAGTAAAAGGGCTTAGTGTGAGGTTTAATGTTAATCTGTCTAGGAGTTGAGCTGTGTTTAATGTTTGCTATGGTTGTAGATGCCAGAGGCTTCATATTATCCTAATGTTCTTATTTTTGTCTTCCCTGGTGCCTTTGAGTTTCCCTAAGAACTCTTCCTTAAATAGAGTCTGAGCCTTGCAGCTCTTTCAGGTGCAATCCATTATTACTATGCTGGAGGCTTGTTGGTGTGGTGGTAAAGTGTGGAGGACTAGAAGAATTCTACAATCAAGATGAAATCTCAGTCTTCTAGTGGGCCTGTGTTCCCCAAGTTGTGACCTTCACAAATATTTCTTAGCTTTTTTTTTTTTTTTAGATGAGGTAGGAAGGCTAAAAGGAGCGAAGTTGGGGAAATGCCCTTTCCATAAGTAGGATGAGGTTCTGGTAAAGTCTTTTTGCTGGAGAGTTGGCTTCGTTATGAAGAATGCACTGATGCTCTGGGTGTCATTTGAAATGGCTACTATTTCCTTCCCTCAGACAGAGCTATGAGGGGATCTCTCTTGGCTCTTCAATGTGAGAACCTGCTGGGGTTCCTGAAAGTAAAGCCCATGAAAGTGTGGGTGTTCCCCCAAGACTGTGGCCCACAGAAATTTCTCCCTCCACTTGGCCTCCATATGTGTTCCTACCCAGTTTATGACTCCAGTGGTTTTTGCTCCAAGTCAGGAGATCTTGGCTATGATTCCCTGTATTCACCTGTTTTTCCAGATTTGGGGGTGGCTGTTTGCCCTGTGATCTCATTCTCTGCTGGGTCCAAGAAAAATCATTGCTTTTCAGTTTATTCTATTTTTTATTATTATAAGGATGGGAGTGATGACTTCCAAACTCTTTGCATGTTGGAGCTGAAACTTAAAGTCCTGGTTGACTTTTTGTGACTATTATTATCCTGAATTTACAGGTGAGGAAACTGGGGCTCTGTGATATTGAAATCACTGAGCTTATAAATGGCAGAACTAATTTCAAACTTAAATCCTCCAACTTCAGATTCAGAATTTCTTTCATATGTTAATTACCACATAAAACACAGTTTATGTATTCCTAGGAGTTTACAGTCTAGCTAGGGAATAACTTGGCTGATTTAGGACATAATCTGTGAGGCTTCAAAGAAAATTGCAATTGTTTCTGGCTCGAGGAAAACTAAGAAGATCTTTTTTTTTTTTTTTTTTTTTAAGAGACGGGGTCTCGCTCTTGCTCAGGCTGGTTTCGAACCCTGACTCGAGCAATCCGCCCGCCTCGCCTCCCAGAGAGCTAGGATTACAGGCGTGAGCCACCGCGCCCGGCCAGAAGATCTTTATTAGAAGAAAATTCCAAATAACTAAAACTAGTTTAGTTTTTAGTTACCTTGTTGTTTATTTTCTTATTAAGTGCCTTAATGCACCAACTCAAGTCTCTAGAGTTGACCATTTTAAACTTTATTTTTTTTAATTTTTTTACTTTTATTTATTTTTTTATTTCAGCATATTATGGGGTTTCAATAAATGCCCATTCCCCCCTCCCCCCGTTTTAAACTTTAGAATCCTGCTCATTAACAGGTCTTGAAATAAATTTAGTGATTCTCTAAAAATGTTTAAAATATGAAATAGAATAATATAGAAAAATCAATCTCTCTTAGTAAGGTTAAATATTATTTCATTAAACTTTTGTATGACTCTTAATATAGATATGTATGTTTTTTTATGTATGTATGTGCTGGGTCACAAACTAAAATGTGTTACTTATTATTTGGTACTAGGATTTAAAAGTTTGTCTGGGCTGGGCTCAGTGGCTCACGCCTGTAATCCTAGCTCTCTGGGAGGCCGAGGTGGGCGGATCATTTGAGCACAGGAGTTCGAGACCAGCTTGAGCAAGAGTGAGACCCCATCTCTACTATAAATAGAAAGAAATTAATTGGCTAACAATATTTATATATATATATAAATATATAGAAAAAATATATAGAAATATATATATGTATATAATGAGCTGGGCATGGTGGCACATGCCTGTAGTCCCAGCTACTTGGGAGGCTGAGGCAGGAGGATTGCTTGAGCCCAGGAGATTGAGGTTGCTGTGAGCTAGGCTGATGCCACGGCACTCACTCTAGCCTGGGCAACAAAGTGAGACTCTGTCTCAAAAACATAAAATAAAAAAATAAAAGTTTGTCTGTTTGACCTTAATGTGGATCTGTTGAACCTTTATGTGATGTGGCAGGATTTCCATCATGTAGCTGGACCTATTAGATCCAGTTGTGCCTGAAGCCATAGCGCAATAGGTATGTCAAATCAACATTTGATAACTTAAGAGAAGTTCCTGAATGGCATAGGCTTTGATAGTTCTTTTTTTTCTACTTTGGATATAACCTGGGGTAAAGAGTCTTCATTTGATACTTATATTTAACTAATTCGTTTTGTTAGATAGATAGCAAGGGATTCCGGATCTCCTAGGGATGAAAAGTGGGTGCTGTTGCAGTCCCCAATACCACCCCATGGACTTTCAGAGAGGCTCCTGGGAGATCTGCAGGTCATATAACTTCCAACTGTCCAATCAAAGTGGTTCCATGGTGGCGTCTGATCCACAAGGGAGGTCCCAATCCAGAAACTATAAAACAAGACCCAGACCATAAGCAAGCCCCTTTTTTTTTGCCCTCTTTTGCTATGATCTGGTCATCGTCTGTGGTGTATGTACCTTGCTCTATAAACCTGTATTTTGCTCTTGCTCTATACTCCTATCTTTCTCTCCTCAATAAACCTTGTGTTCATGCTTACCTTACTTTGGTGCATCTGGTTATCCTTTGATTATGAGCACACTAAGAACTGACATGTCAGACTGCCACCCGATATATTCAAATACATATTTGAAAAGCTCAAGGAAAAGAAAATTCCTTACTTTTGGAAGTGTGGTCTTTGGAGAGAGAGATAGAATTTTTAAATTAAAAAATCCTACCTGCTATTGGGACCTCACTATCTTTCTTCACTTGTGGTAATCTTGCTTGCTTAGGAAAAGCCGGACATTTTCATGCATTAAATTCTTTAATGCGCACACAGCCCTGTGAGGTAAGGTCCGTTATTACCTTCATTTTTCAGATAAAGAAACTGAATTTCAGAGAGGTTATGCAGCTCATCCGAAGTCACACAATTGCAATGAAGGAGATAGGACGTGGACCAGGCACTCCGGATCCAGTGTATGTCCTCTTAGTTTGCGCTCCACTATCTGTTGCTTAGAGATGAGCTCTGAAGAACCAGCCCAGATAAAGAAGACTTTCCTAGAATACATAGAATTGAGGGTAACAAGCAAAATTTCTGTTGAGTCATTGCTATTGTTCTTAGAAATCACAGATGTTTACAAGGGACATTAAAGATCATTCAAGCCAACCCTCTTATTTTTACAGACAAAGCGACCAAATTCCAGAACACCAAATACCACCATGTCCAAATGTGGTAAAAACAAACTGTCTTTTTGAAAACGACTCTAGAGTCTCAGGGAAAATGAGTTTTAATTTCTCTTAAAGCTTCAAAGCTAGGCAAAAGATGAGATGTCTTCACATACAGAACTATTACCCGCTGAATGAATAAAGGAGAAAACTATGAAATCTCTTCAATTTCCTTGACAATTAAAGAAGTGTTTACCTAAAGCAGAGGTTATTAGCCTTGCCATAGGTGGTGATCTGTTGTTTTCCCTGCCCAGCTCCTATCCTGTCTTTTCTTAGGAATGACATCCCGATTTTCCTCAGGGAAACACCGCCCTTCCACTCCCTCTCTCCTTGTGTGTGCTTGGGTTGGGGTGATCTTCCCAACCCTCTCATTGGCAGGCCTGGCCAATCAGAGCTTCGCATTCCCTTGGCCACGGTGATCGGTTCAGGGTTGGGCATGGTATAGAGACAATGAGGCTCAAATCTGGGAATGTTAAGGAGACATGCTTTTTAATTTATGTTTCTGAGAGAACTCCTGTTGAGGAGAGCCTGCCTGAGAATGGAGCCAACACAGAGAAAGCACAGGAGACAAAAGAGCATTATTTTAGCCACTGATCCAGCTCTGCCTAAAGCCAGAAATCCCTGCATTTTTGGATACTTGAGTCCATATAGTTGAAGGCATAGGTTGCATTTATTAAGTGCTTTGTAAGCGCCAGGCATTTACAATGCCTGTACAGCACTTTAAGTGCTGTAAACACTATACATGGGTTCTTTCATTTGGTTCTTACAACAACCCCATTAAATGATTACTGTTATTATTTTCATTTTATAGGTGAGAAAACTGAAGCTTGAAAGGGTTATTAAATAGTTGCCTAAGTTACAAAGGTAATAAGTGATGGACAGGAATGAACTCAAGCCAACTAACTCTTGGATCTTTGTTTTTAAGCATGTATGTTTTCATCAGATTCTAAAAGACAGTTTGGGCTCAGAAAAGATTAAAAACCACAACCACCTGCTTTTAATGGAGACTAGATAATTGCTCCAGATCTTTTCTATAATTATAACTCTATGAGTCTATATTGTATTGTTTTTATCTTTTGCAAAAATGGCAGCTATTTTCATTTTAACTCTTTGCATCTTAGTCCATCTGGATAAAGAGTATGCTTTAAGCTTGTTAAAACAATCTTTTTTCCTAACAAATTTAAATCAGCTTGATTTTCTCTGTTGCTGGCTAAACTATTAATAATTCTTTGTGTCTGGAATTGCTTGGCCCGTCTACAAAACTGCAGCCTAGAAAGCAACAGAGATGATTTCTCAGAGCTAAAGGAATTGTCCTGCTACTGCTAGCTCCCTGATTTCCTGGTTTGCTGCATCCATCTTTAATGGTGGAGAAGTCCATCTGACGGCAGCTCATTTTTTAAAACAGTTCCATTTTATGAAGACTGCGAAATGGGCTTTGGTGCTTACAGAGAGGAAATGGCTCCTTGGAGAATAATGGTTGATGACTTGTTCAGTGAGAGCAAAGTTTTCCATTTCCACAAAGAAGAATTTTTAGGCTGTTTGTGAAATTTCTTTTAGTTCCTCAGGGTATCTGAGAACTGCACAGGGCAACTTCAAACAAGTTTAAGAGAAAGTACAAGGCCCCCAAAAGGGTTCACAGGAGGTGCCTTTGGAGGGAGAAAATTCTCAGCAGGCAGGTCAATGAGAAAAAGGAGGAAGCAGCCACTTGGATTCCGCTTTGCCAATTCAGGGTCCACACTAGCATGGCCAGAGTCCTGCTTGTCTTCCCGTCTTAGTTTGGGAATCCTTCCCCTGATCCTTATTTTCCTACCCACAAACAATGAGAAGGAGCAGGGTGGGCTGAGATCAGGATAAAAGAAAAGGGGAGATGAGCCCACATGCCCCACCCCGGCTTCCACTCCTTGCATTTCTCCAGTTCAGGTTACCTTTTAATCCCTTGCACTCTTGGCTGTGGCTTCTCCCATTTTACTGCTATGACCAACTTTTTTTCTTTAAGTTTCTTTTTAATCTGAAAAAAAAAAATTCCAAGTACATGGAAAAAATCCAAATGGTACAAAAAAATTTACAGCAAAAAGTATTACCAGCCCTCAATGCCCCAGCTGGCCTCCTTCCCAGAGTTCCCAGAGGCAGCCACAATGACCATTTTCTTTTCTTTTCTTTCTTTTTGCCCCCATAGTGTCCCACCAGTTATGACCAGTGTTTTGCCAAGTCAGAATCTGCATGATCCCTGAGTCACCGTTTTCAAGATTGGGGTGCTGTTTGACCCTGTGACTCATTCTGCGGTCAGAAAAACTATTGCTTTCAGTTACTATTTTTATTCAGTATAAGGAGGGAGGATGACTGTCCAAGATCTTTGCAGTTGAGCTGAAACGTAAAGCCTGGTTACTTTTGGACATAGTACCTGACTACAGTGAGGAAACGGGGCTCCTTGTGAGTATTGAACACTGAGCTTATAAGGCAGAACTAATTTCAACAACCAACTTCAGATTCAAAATTCTTTCATATTAATTACGACAGTAAAACCAGTTTATGTATCCTAAGTTACAGTCTACTAGGGACATAACGGCTGATTTAGGCATAAAGTGCGGGAGCTTCAAGAAAATTGCAATGTTTCGCTCGCGAAAACTAAGAAGATTTTTTTTTTTTTTTAAAGACGGGGCTTCGCTCTGCCAGCTGTTTTTCCCTGACTCCGACCTCGAGCATGCCCGCCCGGCCTCCCAGAGAGCTAGATAGGCGTGACCACCGGCGCGCAAGAAGACTTATAAAGAAAACCAATAACTAAAAGTTTATTTTTAGTTACCTTTGTATTTCTATTAAGTCCTAATGCACCGACCAATGCTCTAGAGTTGCCATTTTCAAACTTATTTTTAATTTTTACTATTTGATTCAGATATATGGGGTGTCAATATCCATTCCCCCTCCTCCCGTTTAAACTAAACCTGCTCATTAACAGGTCTTGAAATTAGTGATCTCAAAAAGTTAAAAATGCAAAAAATAATATAAAAAGCAATCCTCTTAGTAAGGTCATATTATCATTAAATTTGTATGACGCTTAATAGAGAAGTAATTTTTTTATGTATGATTGCTGCACCAAACAAAATGTACTTATATTGGTACTAATAAAGTCTGGCTGGGCCAGTGGCTACGCCTGTAACCTAGCTCTCTGGAGCCGAGTGGGGATCATTTAGCACAGGAGTCGAGACCAGCTTGAGCAAGAGTGAGACCCCATCTCTACTATAAATAGAAAAATGCTTAACAATATATAATATAATATAGAAAATATATAGCAAATATAAGATATAAAGCGGCATGGCACATCTGTACCAGATACTTGGAGCGAGCAGGAGGATTGCTCCAGAGATAGGTTGCTTGAGCTAAGGCTGATCCACGGCACTCACCTACCGGGCAACAAAGTGAGACTCTGCTCAAACATAAATAATAAAAGTAAAATGTCTGTTTGACCTAAGTGGATCGTTGAACGTTATTGATGTGCAGGATCCACAGTAGCTGACCTATTAGACCAGTGTGCCTGAAGCCATAGCGCATAGTATTGTCAAATCAACATGATAACTAAGAAGAAGTTCCTGAATGGCAAAGGCTTTGTAAAGTGCTGTTTCACTTGGATAAACTTGGGGTAAAGAGTTCATTGACTAATTAACAATAGTTGTTGTTAGATAGGAAGCAGGATCCGATCTCCTAGGGATGAAAAGGTGTGGCAGTCCCCAAACCACCCATGGACTCAGTGAGAGGCTCCTGGAGACCGCAGGTCATATACTTCCAACTGTCCATCAAAGTGGTTCCCTGGTGCCTGACACAAGGAGGTAATCCAAGAACATAAAACAAGACCAGACCAGTAACAAGCCCTTTTTTGCTCTCTTTGTATGATCGGTCATTGTCTGGTATTCTGCTCTAAAACCGTGTTTTGCCCTTGCCTCTATACTCCTATCTTCCTCCCAAAAACCTGTTCACTTACCTATTGGTCTGGTATGTCATTTGATTATGACAACAAACTAAGCCAGACTGCACCCGATATATTCAAATCATATTTGAAAAAGAATAGAAAATTCCTTACTTTTGGAAAGTGTGGTCTGGAGAGAAGAGAATGTTAAATAAAAACTGCTACCTGCGGTGGACCTCACTATCTTTCTTCACTGTGGTAATGCTTGCTGCTTAGGAAGCCGACTCTCATTAAATTCTTTAACGCACACGAGCCGTGAGGTAAGTCCTTTTACCTCATTTTTCAGAATAAGCAATTTGGGGAAATGCCCTTTCCATAAGTAGGATGAGGTTCTGGTAAAGTCTTTTTGCTGAAGAGTTGGCTTCGTTATGGAGAATGCACTGATGCTCTGGGTATCATTTGAAATGGTTACTATTTCCTTCCCTCAGACAGAGCTATGAGGGGATCTCTCTTGGCTCTTCAATGTGAGAACCTGCTGGGGTTCCTGAAGGTAAAGCCCATGAAAGTGTGGGTGTCCCCCCAAGACTGTGGCCCACAGAAATTTCTCCCTCCACTTGGCCTCCATATGTGTTCCTACCCAGTTTATGACTCCAGTGGTTTTTGCTCCAAGTATAATAAGATAATAGTGGTTGATTAATGTATGTCCCCACACCCCACCCCTGGCTCCACCCTTGCATTTCTCAGTTCAGTACCTTATAATCCGCTGCACTCTTGGCTGTGGCTTCTCCATACTGCTATGGACCAACTTTTTTCTTTAAGTCTTTTATCTGAAATATAATAAAAATATTAAATAATAAAATTCCAGAGTACATGGTAAATATATATCTCAAATGGGTTACAAAAAAATTTACAGCAAAAAGTACTTACCAGCCCTTCAATGCCCCCAGCTTGGCCTCTTCCCAGAGTTGCCCAGAGGGCAGCCCAATGAATCCTTTCTTCTCTGGATGTCTATCTCATTTCTTATTTTCAGTAAAGAACCTGTC